TTTTTGCGAGGTTTTTCACAGATTTTTAACTGGACGCTTGCACCTTTTCGCTCTTTTGCCGCTGGTCCTTTAAAAACCATTTACTTAGAACTGTTAGGAGCTGGAAGCTTCATTTTTACGGTGCTCGATAGAGAAGAGCTTGCTCTATATTTGAGGAAAGTGGCATTCGAAAGTTATCTTAGAGCGGTTTTTCACATAATTTTGAACGGGACAATGGCTCGTTTTTCCTATAGCAGTTAGTACTCAAAAAATTGTTTGCTCAGGCAAGGTTAGAGCTAGAAGCTTTTTTTTCACACCAGTTGATAGAGAAAGCATGGCTCTAAGTCGGAGCAAAATGGCAACAGCAGAGAATTTTCCAGTGACTGTTGACAACTTTTCAAACGAGGCTTTTGCACATTGTCGCTCTTTTACCGTTGATTTTCAAAAAATTACTACTCAGAACTGGTTTGAGCTAGAAGCTTCATTTTTGCTCTTCCTGATAGAGCAGCGATTGCTATATTTTGGAGAAACGTGGTTTAAAAAAATAAATTCTGCGCGCTTTTCGACAGATTTTCAAACCGAACATTTGCCCGTTTTCGTTCTTTACCGCTAGATTCCAAAAAAAATTACTCGGAACTGCTTTGAGATACATAGTTCATTCTCTAACAAATGATAGAGCAAGTCCCACTCTATATTGGAGAACATTTGCATTAGAAAGTGGTTTTTGGTAGGTTTACGACAGGCTTTTCAACAGGGCACTCTTTCGCTTTTTGCCGTGGGTTTTCAATAAATAATCAGTTAGAGCCAGTGAGAGCTAGAAGCTCCATTTTTTCACTGCTTGACAGAGAAGATGTTACTCTATATTCAGCCAAAGTGCAAATAGAAAGAAATTGTTGCGCTGTTTTTGACAGAGTTCCAAACGGGACAATTGCACTTTTTTCCTTTTTCGCGCTGACTTAAAAAAATAATTTCTCCGAACCCGTTAGAGCTCCACCTGATAGAAAATGTCCCGCTCTATGTTGCGCAAAAGTGGCGTCAAAAAGGCTCCGCTGAGTGATTTTTCACATATCTTCAAAGGGAACATTTGCACCTTTTTCCTTGTTTTATCGATGGTTTTCAAAAAATTTAATTTTCAGAATTAGTTACAGCTAGAAGCTTCATTTCTATACTTTTTGATAGAGAAAATCTTGCTCTATATTGGGGGTGAATAACAATGAAAATACTTTTAAAACCAGTTTTTGACGGATTTTTAAACCGAACATTAATTATTACACTTTTTCGTTCTGGTGCAGCGGGTTTTTCAAAAATTAATTACTCGAAACTCGTTAGAGCTGGAAGCTTCATTCTTGACTTCACCACTTTATAGACAGAAAACCGCTCTATGTTCAGGCAAAATGGCATTAGAGATGCATTTTCGGGCGCTTTTTGACAACATTTCACTGCCGCTGATTAAAAAATAATAATTACTCAGAACTGCTTCAGGATAGAAGCCTCATTTTTGCACTTCTCAACAGAGAAAATCGTGGTCAATGTGACAGGAAAGTTGGACTAGATGGTGACTTTCACGCAATTTTTGACGAATTTTTGGCGGTTTGCTCAACAATTAATTGCTCAAACCTGATTAGAGCCAGGGAGTTAGTTTTTGCGTCCCGCGATAGAGGAAAATCACCTCTATATTACAGAAAAGTTGCGGCAAAAAGTAACTTTCAGAAAATGTTTGGTGGTTTTTTAAATTGAACACTTGCAAATTGTCGCTC